ATGCCCGCCGCCGGCGCCCTCGTTTCGTTCGACGCGCAGCTAGCCAAGCGGCAGCAGGATGAGCTGCAGCGGTACAACGTCCCGGCCTCGGAACCGGCGGACGCCACCCGTGGCGAAGGAGAGGATGGAGGAGGGAGGCCGGAGGGAGGAGGAGCATGGATGGATGGATGTGGATGGATGGATGGAGGGATGGCTGCGGGACTGCTGCGGCGCAGCCGTGGGGTGGGCGCCTCCGGTGTTCTTGCTGGCCTTCACACCATCCTGCTGGTTTCGCAGAAGCTCAGGGGCTGGCGACGTGCGAGTGGTCACAGACTCACCCGCCGCTGCCAGGAGGCGGAGGAGGAGGAGGAGGAAGAGGAGGAGGAGGATAGAGGAGGAGAGCAAGACGTGGAGGAAAGTGGAGGTCAGTGAGATGAGGACTCCGTGTGTCCTCCCCTTTCTTGGCATTCGACGTCGTAACGTTTTGACTGCGCTTGGTGTGCCGTGCGTTGATCGTGGGTTGATTCTGGCTGCAGCCCGAGAGCGTGCAACGAGGGCGCACGGGATCTCTGGACGCTGTTGGCCCCCGTTCGGGCCCTGCGTGGGGGGCTTTGGGGGCCGTCCTGCCACGAAGCACGGCCGCGGCAGGCCCTCGGGGCGGTGAGTGGCCACGGGGGCTCGGGAAGAGTGACGGCCTCGGTGGGTGCGTGCGGTGGAGGCCCGCGACCAGCTCCACAGCACAGGCGTGAACTGAGGCGTGTAGGGTGACCACTGGCCTCTTCTGTCATGCAAGCATCAGCGCGTGCCGCTGCCACATACATGGGAACATCGTTGCGCACCGTTGGAGTACTTCACCACCCGCGCCCGCTTGCCAGACCCACGGTTCTGCAGTCCATGTTGGCGCGCGTTTGGACTTGGAGCCAACCAGTTTGGGCACTTGTTCAGGGGGGGGAGGGGGGTTCGGGAGGCCAGAAGCTGCGGACGCAGAGCAGACCTGCCGACGCGTGTTGGGCTCGATGCGCCGAGAGGAGCCTTGACTTCTCTCTCTCTCTCTCTTTCTTTTTCTCTCTCTTTCTCTCTCATTCTCTCTCACGTGGGAAGGTAGACGCGGCCTTATGTCGGGGATACGTCTTCCCCAAATTAAGCCTTGCCTGTGAGGTTCTAACATGTTTGCGGGAGAAGCGGTGAGTGCGGGGTCCTTCGTCAAAGGTGGCCCCCGGCGTTGTTTTGGGATGCTCGGGGTTGCCTGGGGTTGCCCGTGTTTGCCCTTGCGGTTCCCAGCTTCGCTCTGGGTTGCCAAGGGTTGCCTGGGGTTGCCCAGGGCTGTTGTGGATTACCCGTGCAGGGCCAAGCAATGCCAAGCATTGCCAAACAATACCAGGCAAAGCAAAGCAATGCCCAGCAAATGCCAAGCAACGCCAAACAATGCCAAGCAACACAGGAGTACAAAGCAGTGCAACACATTGCAAAGCAGCGAAACTCAATGTCAAGCAGCGATCCGAAGCATCGATCCCGAGCAAAGCCAAGCAATGCCCAACAATACCAATGCGTTGCTTTGTATTGCACTGCTTTGCTCAGAAAACGCTTTGAACTCTGCTGGAGAAAACAGCAGATCCCTAATCGGGGCCGCGCCGGGTGCACTCCGCGGGGTGTCTGCGCATCCTCAATGCGTGTCGCGGCCTATCCCTTCCTCTTCCTCCTCGCCCTTCTCTTCTTCTTTATTGGCTCTTCTTCTTCTTCCTCCTCCTCCTCCTCCTCCCTCCTCCCTCCTCCTGCTCCTCCTCCTTTTTCTTCCTGCCCCTCCTCCTCCCCTTCCTCCTCCTCCTCCTCCTCCTGCTCCTCCTCCTTCTTCCTACCCCTCCTCCTCCCCTTCCTCGTCCTCGTTCTCCTCCTCCTCCTCGTCCTCGTTCTCCTCCTCCTCCTCCTCCTCCTCCTCCTCCTCCTCCTCCTTCTCCTCCCCCTCCGCAGCGTCGCCGTCGCTTTGGGCCGCGACAAGACGAGGCATGGGGGCGCTGAGCGATACCGCCGCCGCACGGCGCGGTGGCGGACGGATCCTGTTGGTCGCGCCTGCGGAAGGTGCCACCTGGAGGAGGCCGCGGTGGCCCGCGCAAGGGCCCTTTGAGTCACCTCCGCGGGTGCCCTGCGCGCTCGCCCCCGGCCCGAGCCGGCCTGCGGCCCCGGGCGGCGGGCGCGGTGCTGGAGCGGGCACGGGGCCGTCTCGTGGGCTCGCCTTGCCCTGTTCCATCGTGCGGCACTTCTCTCTACATCCTCCTCCTCCTCCTCCTCCTCCTCCTCCTCCTCCTCCTCCTCCTCCTCCCTCTGCCTGGGCGCTCGGCGTCGCGCCAACTATTCTCCGCGTCATGCCCCCCGTTCCCCAGGCGCGGCTGGGGCGCGCCCTCGAGGCGTGGCTGGGGGGCGCCCCGGCAACGTGGGGGGCCGAGGGTCTGTCTGTCTGTTTCTCTCTCTCCCTAGCTCTCTCGCAGTTTCGGCCCGAATTCCAGCAGGAACAGGGCGTGGCCAGGACACGAAGCCTTCCGCGCCTTCTGGCCCGGAGAGACCGTAACCAGGGCCTTTACCCCAGGTCCGATTCGTGTCGCCTTTCCCCCTTTACCCTCCGCCGCAATGGCCTGCGTCGCCGCCCTGGTGTTCGCACCGCGCTGGTGACCTCGTCACGGCCTACGTGGGCCTACGTCCTCAGCTGCGAGACGGGCAAGACTCCAGAGGGAGTCGACCAGCTTACATGCGGTACGGCCAGCTCCACGACAGCCACGTCCTGAGCAACAAGTGCACTTTGTTCATCACGACGAATACGTTTTCTGCGTTCACATCCTGGATGAGCATGCCTCTCCCGCCCCGCCACGCGCCCCTCCCGCTCTTTGGAGCGCTTTTTTTTTGTTTCTCAGACCTCCGAGACGACTTGCAACGTCTCCGGTGTGAACTTCACGCGCTGTGCGCTCTGTTCATCCAGTAGGCCGCCGCGCCGCTACAGCGGCCAGCCGGGCCCCGAAGATCAACGGCAGCAACCCACCCGTTGCGCCTGATCTTCTGCGTCCTGCCGCTCTTCGACAGCACCTTCGGCTGCGTCAACACGGCCGCCTCCGGCATCCACGATGGCATCGGCAATGCCTGCGCGCGCTTCGCCGCGATCCCCTCGATCCTCGGCAGCCTGTTCTGCTCTGTCGGCGCGGCTTCGCTGTCCGCGGCCTTCCGGGTCCCAGGGCTCGCCCCTCGGGTTCCAGGGTTTCCCTTCGGCCGCCGCGCCACTTCGGTGGCCGGCGTCTCGTGTTCGTCGGCAGCGACCTCCTGTGCATCGGGAGCGCCCTCGGCAACATAGGTGCGGCGGGCCTTGCCCCCCCCCCCAACGAGCTGCGCTCGCCCTGCGCGCGGTCTTCATGCAGTTTGCCGCGCTCTTCTTCAACGGAGCGACCTTGCCCGCCGCTGCAGGCCCTGCGATCGCAGTCCAGGGCGAGCAACGCACGCCCGCAGGCCGCGCGCTCGCGGGCTAAGGCCCGCGCGCTGCCCGCCCGCCGCGCGCTCGCAGGCTACGGCTCGAGGCGAGCGCGCACCGCCCTCGCCGGCATTCCACCGACCACGATCCCGCGCCCACTGCGCGCGCAATCTGGGCCACGACCCCGCCGTCGTCGCCCGCGCCCGCGCCGCGCGCCGCCGCCTTGCCACCCGGGCCTCGCCCCCCGCTGCGGACGCGGGGGGCGCGCGCCAAGACGCGCCGCGCACCGCCCTGGGGGCCCCCTGGGGCGATCCTGCTCCTGCGACCCCTGCCGGCCCGAACCTCGGGCTCCACATCGGCGCGGAGGTCGCTGTCCAGGGCCAGGAGCGCAACCCTCTCAACGGTCTCCGTGGTTTTTGTCCGAGGCCGCTCCGGCCAACGCTGGATCGCCACGTTTGCCAGCGGGCCCGCCGCCCGCCTGCCCCCCGCCAGTCTGATCGTTGCCGCCGCAGCGCCGAGCTCCGAAGCCCCGCCCCACGGCGCGCGCGCTTCTCCCAAGGCCCCCCCCCGGCCCCCCCCCGCCGTCTACGCGCGTGGCGCGGCGGGGGGGGCGGGTCGAGGAGGGGGGGGGCGGGGGCGACAATCGCGACCGCCACGCCGACCACGCGCCCTGCGGCAATGCCGCTGGCGCACGGATCACAGTCGGGCGCCCAGCTGATGGGGTCACAGGCGACCGCGCCTCCGAATGCCACTCGAGCGCGAGTTGAACAGCGCGCTCGTTGAATGAACATGTTGCATGAAAACCGACTTCTTTACAACTCGCGTTCGCAGCGTCTGTCACCTACTTCGTCAACTCGTCACCATTCTAAATCCCATCGCCGTCAGGGTCACTCGCGGCCTTCGCGCTGCCGCGCGTCGCGTCGTCCGCGCGCGCGCCAACTGCTCCGCGCGCGCGCCTTCCTCAAGCGGGCCCGGCCCAGGGTGCGGCCTGGGAGGCGGCGCTCGCAGACCCGCCTGACCAGGCTCCCAGGGGGCGGCGCCGCTGAGCGCTGCGCAGGCGCCGCGCCCCAGTGCCCTCTCCTCACTTCCTTCTTCGCCTGGGCCGCCCACCGATCCCAGTCGGCGGCGGAGACGGAGGAGGCAGGGGCTGGAGGACATTGGCGACGGCGACGACGACAGGCGGACGCGCGGCTCTCAGACGGTCTCGGCCAACCCCGCCGCCGCTGGGCTGACCCCCGAGCGCCGCCGCCCCCGCCGTCGCCAGGCCGCCGGCCCCCCTGAGGTCCCTGGTAGCCAGCAACGGCCCTGCCAGACCTCGTCCCGCCTTCGCGCCTGCCTATCCTGCGCGCTGGCCGCGTACTTGGTTCGCTCCCTGCCCCACCGCGCCCGCAGGCTTGGCCGTCTCCGGCGGCCAGGGGGAGTCGCCCTCAGCCAGGCCGACCTGCGCGTGACAGCCCATCGATGCATCGAGTTCCGATCGCATGATCTGCGGCCCCCTGCTCGCAGTGCCCGCCTGACTATCGCCTGCAGCTCGTTCGCCCTCGCTTTCTGCGTGGGCGAAGCCCTCGGCCCCCCGCGCGGCGAGGTGGCGGCCCTGGTCAAGCGCGCCTTCTCCAGTCGTATTCGCGCCGACTCTCACTTCCTTGCAAGGGTCTTAACCTGGTCGAACGCATTCGACGCGCGACGGGGCTTCGCCATATCTTTGGATGCTCGCTGACGGCCCCGCAGCAGTGGGCGCGCCGCTTCCCTGCCTCGCCAGGGCGCTCCCCCCCCGCCCCCGCCTGCGTGCGTGAGCCGCGCCCGCGGCCGGCCTGGCGCCGTCGCCTGGCGCATTCCCTGCCGCTGGGGCCACGCTTCAGATGCTGTCTCGTCGCGGCAGGGGCGCCGCTCGCAGGCGCGCCCCCATCTTCCACATATCCGACGGCCCCGCTGCGTCGGGCGCGCCGCTTCCCTGCCTCGCCGGGGCGCCGCCCGCCCTGCGTGAGCCGCGCTCGCAGCTGTAGCGGCGCTGACGCCTGTCGCGCTTTCCGCCGATGAGGCCGCGCCGCAGCAGCTGCAACTTCGCAGCGGGGGCGCCGCTCGCAGGCGCACTCTTGCGTCCGCCGCCGCCAACTCGCAACCCATGCGTGTTTCACCCCGCTGTCTTGTACATTAGCCGTTCGACGGTGCGCCCTACACCATCCATTGTAAACTATGTTGTCCCCTACCTAGGCTCTGCCTAGAAGTGTTCTTACCGTCTAGCTTGCAGGGGCCGGGCAGTGGAACCCGCCCCGGGCGCGCCCCCCGGCATCCGCCCCGCGGTTCCCCCAGTTGCGCCCCCTTAGCTTAGCGTTGCTTATCTCATCTTAGCTTAGCTTAGTAGCTTAGCTTAGCTTAGCTTAGCTTGGCTTACCTTAGCTCAGCTTAGCTTAGCTGAGCGTAGTTTATCTCATCTTAGCTTGCCTTAGCGTAGCTTTAGCTGAGCGTTAGCTGAGCTTTAACTTAGCTTTATAATAGCTTTACACTAGCTTTAGCTTAGCTTTATCTTAGCTTTAGCTTAGCTCCAGCTTAGCTTTAGCTTAGCTTTAGCGTAGCTTTAGCACAGCTTTAGCTTAGTTTTAGTTTAGCTGTAGCTTTGCTTTAGCTTAGCTTAGCTTCAGCTTAGCTTTAGTTTAGCTTTAGCTTAGTTTTAGCTTAGCGCTAGCTTAGCTTTAGCTTAGCTCTAGCTTAGCTTTAGCTTAGCTTTCGCTTAGCTTTCGCTTAGCTTTAGCTTAGCTTTAGCTTAGCTTTAGTTTAGTTTTAGCTTGTTACTGATACTACTAACGTGCTTTCCTAGGGGCTCCAACTCCTAGGTAGGGTCGCGCTGGGATAATTTCAATTTTACGCTGCGTGACCTGTTCGGTGCCGTGCATCCTCGCGCAGCGTCTCCACCGCGGCCGTAGGCCCCACTTCTTGCCAGCCCGATTGGTCGCGCGGCCACGCGTCATCGGGGCCTGGCTGCGGCGGCGAGGGATGCCCCGTCGTTCGCAAGCCGCTCGGCGGTCAAGCCCTTGTCCCCCGGCCGCCAATCGGGGCTTCGCTGACCTGGGCCCTTTTGCCACGCGGGGCGTAGAGAGACGCGGCGTATCGCCTGATCACCACCCCGTCTTCTACGTCAGTCGCAAAGCGCTGGGGCGCGGTTGCTTCAACACTCCCCGTGCCCCCAAGGTGCGCAACACCGCCAAGAGTGCGATGGCGGCATTGGTTACCGCAGTGGCCGGTTGTCGACGGGACTGCCCGATCTCACGCTCTCTCTCTTTCTCTCCCCTCTCGGTGTGTGTCTCTCTCTCTCTCTCTCTCTCTCTCTCTCTCTCTCTCTTTCTCCGTCTGTTTCTCTGTCTCTTTCTCTATCTCTATATATATATATATATGGCATCTCCCCGAGTAGCTTATACTGAGTGGCCCCCGTGGAACGTTCGGCGCAGCCGACCCCAAGGGGGTCATCCGCAGTTTGCTTGGGTCAGGGGGCGCGCTGGTGTTCGCCAGCGCGCTCTGTGGGCTGCGCAGCGGGCCGCGGCCGCCCGGCGCCGCCGGGGGCTCTCCCGTGGAGGGACAGCCTGCGCGCCGTGATGGCTGGCGGCGGCGCGGCCTGAGATGGCCGGGCTCTGGATCAACTCGGAGCTCGACTCCGACGCCCTGGAGCGGGTGGCGTTGCGGCCCGGCACGCTGCTGCAGGTGGGCGTGCTGGGCGACTCACGGGCCAGCCAGGGATCCGAGCTCGTCTGCGTCGAGCGCGCCTGGCGGCCTACTGGCGGCGGCGTGCTGGTGGAGTTTCAGCGCATCGCCGCGTCGGGCGCGTGCTTCGAGTGGTGCGCCTCGGCGGTCGGGGAGGCGAGCGCTCGAGGGGCCGACGCGCTGCTGCACATCTGCGCCGTGCCCGCGCGGGAGTGCCGCGTCGTCGGCCCAGGCGGCTACGCTCTAGAGCACGTCAACTTGGTGCGCGAGGTGACGGAGGACGAGGCGAGCGCGCTCTGCTTGCAGTGGTGCAGCGAAGGGGCCCTCGAGCGGGCTCGCCTCGCTATGGCTCAGCACGCCGATGGAGATGCAGATGGCAATCGAGGCGAGGAGGCCGCTGTGCCCGAGCCCGAGGGCCTGGACGACGAGGACGAGGACGACGGCGAGCACTTCGACCCAGGGCCCGAGGTGCTCGCGGGTGCCTGGCGCGCCGTCGAAGCGGCCCCACGCTCGCCCCCTCGGCGGGGGCCGCCTCGGGCCACGCTCCCTCTGCCAGAGCCGCAGCGGCGCCCGGCTCTTGGCGAGGGGGCCCGTGGCGACGCCTTGGCCCCTGCCCCTCGGAAGGCACGCGCCCCCCTCGCTGGCGGGAGGCCGGGCGATGTTGGCCAGCCGTGAGAGGGTGGGCGGGCCGGCGCCCGCGCTGGAGCAGAGGCGCGCGGGGAGCCCCGCAGCCGCGCAGCGCCCGCTCGGCGCGAGGCGCCGCCTCGGAGGTCGAGGAGCCGTGGCCGTGGCAGCGCTGGTGGCGGCATCGATGCTCTCGACGAGGCCATGCGCCAGCTGGAAGGGGCCGACGTCGCGGGGGAGCGGACCCAGGAGGTGCCGCAGGAGCGCGCGGTGGCTGCGCAGGGCCGCCGCCACGACAGCGCCCACAGGCCAGCGCAGGAGGTGCTCGCCTCGCGGGCCATCGAGAAGGTCGGGAGCCTAGGCCGAGGGCGCTCGAGCCACGGGCACTCGAGTTTCGAGCGCGAGCTGCTTGCGAGGCTCGGTGGAGGTCGTGGGCGCCGCGGGAGCCCGCCGCGCGACGACGACGAGTCTGGTGCAAGCAGGGGGTCGGACGACGATGTACTCGGAGATCGCAGCGAGGGCCGAGTGAAGCACGACCACTTCATCGACTACGCGAGGCGCAAGCCAGGCCGCCTCTTGAAGTCGGGGCTGGAGGCACTCGTCAAGCAGTTCCCAGCGGGTGCCCCTGGCGGCGAGCTTCCTCCCTGCTGCCGGGCCTTCCTGGACACGGTGTTCTTCGTCGAGCACCCGCCGAAGAGTCTGGGGGCGCACGAGGTGAGGCTGCTGCGCACCTTCGCGACCATCCTCGACATGGGCTTGTCGGGGTCCACGGTCAAGGCGCTCGATGTCGCGATGCAGGAGTTCAAGGCACGCACCACGGCGATCAAGGACGGCGACTGGTACACGGCGAAGTGGATGGCCCTCACCCCTACCGACGCTCAGCCCAGCGCTGCCTCTCGCGACGAGGAGGTGGCAGCGCGGAGGGTGGCCCACGCGGAGTTGAAGCGCGAGGAGCTCCGCGAGAAGCTGCTCGCCAAGAAGCCGCGTTTCTAGGGGCTCGGCCGGGAGGGGTCGCCGGGGCGGGCGTCACCTCCTGCAGGCCACCCGCAGGCTCCCTCACCCCGCACTGTGGTTGGAGGGGGCCCAGCGTCCCTGGACATGATTGCGAAGAGCGGTCGCGAGGCTGGGCCCAGTCCAGTCAGAAAGGTGCAAGCGGCCGCTGTGGGCAGCGGGCGTCCTCAGGCGAGCCTCAGAGCGAAGAGCCTCAGCCGCAGCCCGACGATTCCCCGGGCGGCAGGGGGTGCGACGGGCAGCCAGTCGAGAGAGGTGCGGCTGAACGAGGGCGCCCCCCAGATCCCCACGTTCGAGGAACTGAGGGCAGCGAACGCCCGAGGGCCCCAGGAGACGAAGAGTGCGTACAAGGCGCGGCTGATGACCATCTTGCAGCGCGCCAAGTCAAAGGATTGACCAGGTGCCAAGTCACGAAGCTGGAGTATGCGCTCAGCGTTGTCAACGTGTGCCGTGCAGACCCAGGTGCTTTCGGGTCATACCTCCGTCGTGTGGGTTCGGCGCAGCCAGATCCGCGGGCAGCGCGTCGTCGTGATCTCCTCCCGCTGCCTCTGCCGAGGCAGAGCTCACTCCTAGCGACGGAGGCCCTCATCAAGAGCGGAGCACCGCTACGTGACCAGGGGGCTCTCGTAGTCAGGGGCTGCCAGGAGGCCATCGAGTGGGCCATCATCGCTGGGCTCAACTTTGAAGCAGTGGGGCGCGCAGCAGGCGAGCCTCGGGCCTGGCCTCAGATCGCATCTCAGGCGCAGCAGGTGGCGCTTGCCAATATCAGCTGCGCGGCCGCCTACTTCGCGAAGGACGCGCTGGAGCCGCTGAGCGACTTGGACATCGACAAGCTGATCAAGTTGAAGGGGATCGGCTACAGCGGACAGGAGGTTGAGCGCGGAGGGCCACTGGTGATGGGCGAGCTTCTACCAGGGCTGCCCGAGCCAGGATTGGCAGGTTCCGTGCAGGCTATGGATCTCGCGGCTCCGCATGTGCAGAAGTGGTTGTTGGACCCCACGCTGCTCCTCAAGCCTCAGGATGAATGGCCAGAGGAGATCCCGAAAGCCAGCGTGCAAGTGGCTAGCGACGACGAGTGGTACGCCGTGTGCAAGCACTTGGTTGACGCTGGCATCTTCGAGCCTGTCGAGGACCGGGAGATCTTCCAGGTCGGGGGGAAGCAGGTCCTCGCGGGGGCCTTTGCAGTTGCGAAGTCGGGGACCCCAACGCCGCCCTTCACGAGGGTCACCAGGCTCATCATCAACATGGTGCCGCAGAATGCCTACCAGCGGATTGCTGCTGAGACCGACCTGGACACACTGACCCCCAGCTCGACGTGGGCGTCCATCGTCGTGCCTGATGGCCAAGCCTTGTTGTGGTCGTCAGACGACCAGTCGGGGGCGTTTCATCTGTACGCTCTACCGAAGGCCTGGCGGGCGTACATGGCGTTGCGCAAACCGGTGCCTGGGACGCTGGTGGGGCGGCCGCAGCTCAAGTGGGTCAAGATGGCGGTCGCCGTGATCCCGATGGGCTGGCTGTCTGCTGTGAGCTTGTTCCAGCATTTGCATCGGCGGCTAGGCATCGGTGATGGGCCTCACAGCGCGGGGTTTGAGGAGAAGGTAGAGTGGCGGCGTGACCGCCCACTGCAGCTGGTGCCTCAGGCCAAAGCCCAGGCGTGGGTACAGTACTACCTCGACGATTTCGACTCCCCCGAGATCGTGCCCGAGAGCGTCGCCACCCTCATCGAGGGGACTATCAGCGACTTTCAGGAGCGCCAGCGGAGGGCGTACTCCTCTGCCCGCGTCCCCTGGTCGGACAAGGAGGCGGTGTGTCGGCAGCGTCGCCTCGTCAGAATGGGCGCCCTCGTGGACGGGGACGCCGGCCGCGTGGGGGTCACGATTGACAACCTGATGAGCGTCGGGCAGATGATCATGTGGCTGCTTGATGGCAAGGAGAAGGTGACCGCCAAGGCCTGCCTCATGGTGCTTGGGCGTCTTGCCCGAGCGTTCGAGTTTCGCAGGCCGCTCTTTGCGACGCCCAATGAGGTATGGATCATCCCAGAGCTGAGGGCCGCCTCAGAGCAGGGGGGGGGCGCCCTGCAGCAGGTTGTTCGCCTGTCCGAGGGGGCGCGCTCCGAGCTGCTGGCCGCCCTGTGCTTGCTGCCGATGGCGTTCACCAGCATCCGCGCGACCTTAGACCCCGTCGTCCTCGCCACCGACGCCAGCGAGGAGGGCGGCGGGCTGTGCTACTCGACGGGGCCCACCAAGCATGGGGCGGAGGTGGCGGGCGCTGACCCTGGTGAGGAGGGGCTCGCCTTCCTGCCACGGGGCGCTATGTCATCGGTAGTGCCGCCGGAGCTGCTACCTCGAGGGGTGCCCTTGCCGACAGTGGCGCTCTTCGACTTCTTTGGTGGAATCGGCGCGGAGATGGTGGCCTTGTCGCGGTGCCCCTGCAGGGTCGTCATGTACGCTTCCTCGGAAATGGACAAGGGGGCCAAGAGGTGCGTCAGGCAGCGATGGCCAGGGGTGATCGAGCTGGGGGACATCACCAACCTCGCCCCATAATCGTTGGAGAAGGTCGCCCGCGCTGCAGCTGAGGCTGCGAGCTATGCGATTGCAGGAGGCGGCTCACCGCGTATTGACGTGAGCGGGCTCAATGCAGCTGGCAAGGGGATCACGGGTGCGAAGAGCAAGTTGTTCTTCGAGCTGCCCAAGGCCTTCAGAATCATTGAGCGGATCTTCGGCAAGCAGCGCACCAAGTGGTTCGTCGAGAACGTGGCGGGCATGCCGCAGGACGACATTGCGATGGTCTCCGAGGTGCTTGGCGTCAAGCCGTACCGCATCGAGGCCATGGATGTAGGGACGGTGCGTAGGCCGCGCCTGTATTGGCTCTCCTGGCAGCTGCAAGCCCGCGTCGATGTGATTGAGATCCAGGAGGCTGAGTTCTACCACAAGGTGAAGCTCCATGTCGCTGCTGAGGCCGTCCCAGTCTGGGCTGAGGACGGCTGGAGCCTGCTTGATCCTAGTCACGTGCTGCCGACCTTTGCTAAGCTGTACAAGAGGAGCTCTCCCCCAGCCCCGGTCGCAGGGATCAAGACGGCCAGCGACATCGCGATCGAACGATGGACAGCCTCCAGCTATGTGACGCAGGTGTACAATTTTGAGGATCAGAACCTTCTCTGGAACGCGGCCAGGGACAAGTGGCGCATCCCCACTGCTGATGAGCGTGAGACGCTGATGGGCTTTGATCGAGGTTACACACGCGCTGCTGTGAAGGACTCTGTGCCTGGTGTTGAGGCGGAAATCATCAGGTCGTCGCTCATCGGGAACTCGTTCTCCGTGCAGGTCGTGTCATACTTGTTTGCGCAGCTCTTGGCTCGAGAGGCTGGCCGCGCGGCCCCCGACATCGCGCCGCTGCTCCGCACGGGGGCGGCGCCGCCATCGTGGGGCCAGGAACCCGAGTTTGGAGGCGCCGAGGTCAGCATTCCTGACCTCGAAAGGCGGCCGGTGTTCAAGTGCCTGCGGATCGCCAGCAGAGGAGGCGCAGACGTCAGACTGGACCTGCAGGCCCCCTTTCGCGCCAAGGCCTGGCCGCGCTCCGGGCTGCAGTCCAACCTGTGGACGTGGCCCATTGGACACGGCTTCCCGTGGAAGCAGGAGGCGCACATCAACGAGCTGGAGGCGGGCGCAGCTGTGAATGCGGTCAAGTGGCGTGCCCGAACGACTGCTCGATTCGGGACCCGCTACCTCCACCTCCTCGACTCGCAGGTGGCGGCCAGCGTGCTCGCCAAGGGGCGGTCCAGCGCCAGAAGGCTGTGGGGCTGGATGCGGGCACACGCGTCGTGCCTCCTCGCCTGTGGCAGCTACCCGCTTTACGCGTAAGTCGACACGGACGACAACCCAGCGGATGTGCCGTCGCGCTGGTTTGACAGCGGCTGCAGGGGGCGTCGGCGCGCAGGCCGCGGCAGCGCGGCTCGAACGGGCCGTGGGCGCCAAGCGGCTCAGGCGTAGCAGGCCGCTTCAGGATGGGCGAGTTGCTGCAGTCACCAGGCAGCGCTATCAACAGGCGCGACAACACTTACGATATTTTTTCAACGAGCAGCAGCTGCGCCCAAAGAGTGTGCGAGATGTCGACCAAGGCGTTGCCCTGCACATCGAGCACGTGTGGCGCACGGGCGGCTCACTTCTTGCAGTGAACAATGTGCTCGCTGCGGCGCCATTATTCAGCCCGTCGTTGTCGGGCAAGTTGAAGCAGAGTTGGAAGCTCCAAAAGACTTGGCTTAAGTTGGAGCCCAACGCCCGTGCCATGCCGATGCCGCCGCTGCTCGCCCTCGCCTTTGCAGGGGCCTTCTGCTGGTGGGGCCTGCCGCGGGTGGGCGCCTTGCTCGCCGTCGGCTACGCAGGGATGCTGCGCAGTGGTGAGATGATTCAACTGAGGCGGAAGGACATTCGCATTTTTCAGCGGCGGATGTCAGCAATCGTGGCGCTCCGCAACACTAAGACGGGGCAGCGAGACGGCAGGCTTGAGCTCGCCATGATCCGCTCCAGGGTCGCGGTGAAGCTGCTGGTGCAGCAGGCGCAGCAGCAGCCGCCAGACGAGCTCATCCTGAACATGGGGAGGGGTGAGTTCATGCGGCTCTTCAGGCGCGTGGTGGTCGCGCTGGGCCTCACCGATGAGAGGGTGACCTTGTATTCGTTTCGGCGCGGAGGCGCCACGCATGACTTTTTGGAGCATGGCAGCCTCGAGCTGACCCTGCTGAGAGGGAGGTGGGCGAGCGCGCGGTCTGCGCGGATCTACGTGCAGGACGCGGTGGCCGCGTTGGCCGAGCTGCAGTTGTCGGATCTGCAGCTTGCGGATGCCCGCGCGCTCGCCTCCCATGTCTGAAAGGATGCTTCCCTCTCCTCCGACCCCCTCCTTTCAGACTTCATCCATTTCCTCTCCCTTCTGGTGACAGTTTCTGGAGAGGCGCCAGGCGGGGCATGCGTAAGGGGGGGCGCCCATCCTGCAACGCAGTCTGTGCAGAGTAGGGGTCATGGAAGAGTCTTGGTCCCCCCCAGAGTGCCCTCAGAAGTTCCTAGCACTCGGGGCTCGCTGAAACTTCCACCCTGCTGGCTGCCGGGGCCTCCTGGTGAGCCAGTGCGGGTAGGGGGTATTCGGCGAGCTCTGGCTGGTGGGCTGGCGTGGGCCAGTGTGGGCCAGTGTTTTTTTTTTTTTGTTTTTTTTTTTTTTTTTCTCCCAGACTTCTGGGTAGCTCGGGCGGGCCCTCTTCCTTTGAACACAGCGCTCTGGCTGCGCCGAAGAAAAGCGGAGGGTCGGGGTATATGGCATCTCCCCGAGTAGCTTATACTGAGTGGCCCCCGTGGAACGTTCGGCGCAGCCGACCCCAAGGGGGTCATCCGCAGTTTGCTTGGGCCACCTCCCGTGTCTCTGCCTGGCGTACTCGATATAGCGCATGCCTATTCAGTCTGAGAGCCTCGTCGTAGCGCATGTTCGTGCGTGTATGCCTGTTCATTCTCAGTGTCTAAGTCTTGGTCCCCCCCAGAGTACCCTCAGAAGTTCCTAGCACTCGGGGCTCGCTGAAACCTCCACCCTGCTGGCTGCCGGGGCCTCCTGGTGAGCCAGTGCGGGTGGGGGGTATTCGGCGAGCTCTGGCTGGTGGGCTGGCGTGGGCCAGTGTGGGCCGGTGTTGGTGCGTTTTTTCAAAACTTCTGGGTAGCTCGGGCGGGCCCTCTTCCTTTGAACACAGCGCTCTGGCTGCGCCGAAGAAAAGCGGAGGGTCGGGGTATATGGCATCTCCCCGAGTAGCTTATACTGAGTGGCCCCCGTGGAACGTTCGGCGCAGCCGACCCCAAGGGGGTCATCCGCAGTTTGCTTGGGCCACCTCCCGTGTCTCTGCCTGGCGTACTCGATATAGCGCATGCCTATTCAATCTGAGAGCCTCGTCGTAGCGCATGTTCGTGCGTGCATGCCTGTTGTTTCTCAGAGTCTAAGTCTTGGTCCCCCCCAGAGTACCCTCAGAAGTTCCTAGCACTCGGGGCTCGCTGAAACCTCCACCCTGCTGGCTGCCGGGGCCTCCTGGTGAGCCAGTGCAGGTAGGGGGTATTCGGCGAGCTCTGGCTGGTTTTTCAAGACTTCTGGGTAGCTCGGGCGGGCCCTCTTCCTTTGAACACAGCGCTCTGGCTGCGCCGAAGAAAAGCGGAGGGTCGGGGTATATATATATATATATATATATATATATATATATATATATGTATGCGTGTGTATATACACACATCTAGACCGTGGGACCAGGCCAGGGGGGCCCGGGGCCGGAGCTTCTACCGCAAATGTGTGTGTGTGTGCCGGGGCGTTTGGGGGCCCCCTGCGGCCGACAAAAAAAACAGAAAACGCCCAGAGAGTCCCCAGATTTTCTGGGGGCCCCGAGACGTTCAAAGGTTGCGCCAAGACGCCCAATATGGCTTCCAGAAGACCCGAAGGGCAAAGCAACGACATATAGTATAATGTAAGCAGACGTGTGCATATACAGCGCAGCACCCATCAATTCATTTGTTTTTGTTATTTCCCTCTCTCTCTCTCTGTTGTTCACTCTCTCGTTGTCTCAGTCGCGTTCTCTCTCTCTCTCTCTCTCTCTTTCTCTCTCTTTCTATCTCTTTATATATATATGTATATATATATATATATGTATGTATATACGCACGCACACACATATACACACACGCGTATCCCTCCCTTACCCTCTCTTTTCGTACTCGCCCCCTCCTCCACACTCCTTCAGCCGTTTGCCGCCCCCCTGGAGGGAACGCGGGCCGTCTCGCACTACGCGGGGCCGAAGGTGAAATGGGAGGATACGGGCCTGTACAAGGCCATGGTCAAGAGCCAGGAAACTCCCCCCCTCATGCTGCTGCTCTATCTGGGACGTTCCAGAAAGGGCTTCGCCTTCGAGGATGGAAGGGGTTGCCGGCTCTTCCTCGGCGGAAGGCGGCGGAAGGGCGGCGGAAAGGCGGCGGAAGTAAAACGAGGCCACCTCCGCTAGCGGAAACTAGCGGAAGGCGGCGGAAATAAAAGCTTGGGTTCAGGGCTTCTGGAATCGGCAATCGTTTATCCATGTGTCTAGCGGTCTCTAGCGTCAGGGCGAAGAAAGCATGCAGCCCATGTGCAGAGGACAGAGCAGAGGGAAGGCCACCACGACTGACAGGTGACGCCGACGCACTTGACACGCCAACGCACTGCTGTCGCTGCTGCTCCTCCTGCTCCTGATCTTTATCCCCTTTTTGGTCCTCCTCCTCCTCCTCCTCCTCCTCCTCCTCCTCCTCCTCCTCCTCCTCCTCCCCCTCCTCCTCCTCCTCCTCCTCCTCCCCCTCCTCCCCCTCCTCCCCCTTGTCCTCCTCCTCCTCCTCCTCCTCCTCCTCCTCCTCCTCCTCATCCTCCTCCTCCTCACTCCTCCGTCCACCTCCCTCTCCTCCTCACGTCCTCCTCCTTCGTCACTGCCTCCTCGCCGCCGCGCCATCGGGCGCCCTCAGTCCTGACCGGCACGCTCGCCGTGCCGCGTGTGCGCCGCCCCCTCGGAAGGGTGGCGTGGCAACAGGGGGCACGGTCTGACGGGGGGGGCCAGGCATCCTCCGAGTTCCCAACCATCCTGTGGTGTTGGGTCCTCGGTTTGGAAGAGACAGCGCCCCGCGTTCTCCTCCTCCCTATCTCCTCCCCTCCTCCCTCCTCCCTCCTCCCATCATTATCATCATCGTCGTCGTCATGAGCATGTTCTTGAAACGCTGGTGCCCGTCTGTCCTTCCGCGGCCCTTTTTGGGCTCCGACCAAATTCGCTCAAGCTTAATTCACGGCGGCCCATGTCAGCTGCTGTGCAGGCCTCGCTCAGGGCGGCGACCTGGCTAGCAGACCGCGCGCTGGAGAGCACGGTGGTCTCAGAGGCGGGGTCCTGCGCGATCGCCGTGCAAGTGTTCGGCGGCGTGCGCGTCGCCTTCGGCACCGTGCTGGCCGCAGGAGTCCTCGTGGGCGTGCTGATTGGTGCCCATGGCAGCTGCTGCGGCCTGGGAGATCGGCGATCGCATCGAGGTGCAGTGGCGAGCAGGCGGGAGCTGGCAGGCGCGCGTCGTCGTGGGCTTCGCCACCGCCGCCGAGTTCCAGACAGTGATGGCAGCGGGAGCGGAGGAGAGGCGCGAGATCCTGTATATGATCACGCCCGACGGCGACATGTATCCCCACGTTCTGCACACCGACGTGATACAGGGCGCAGTGAGAGTCCACCAAGGGCGGAGGGACCGCGCGTCAGTGGTTGGCACGGCCCCCGCCGCCAACGCGAGGTCGTACGGCGCCGACTGGACACCCGAGCCGCGGGAGTTCCTGGAGGCGGTGGCGGCCGCGTCGGCGCGGTCGTTCGCCGAGGTGGAGGCGACACTGAGGCGCCCAGCAGCGCCCAGGGAGGCGGGCTTGGACTTGGATTCAGCTCCGATTCCGCCTGACTGGGAGAGTGTATCCAGCCTGCCCGACCCCGACAGCAAGGGATGGTATATCCTCGCAGGTACTGACCAGAGCAGCTCAGCCAAGCTGCCGAGCCTGACGGTGGACTCTTGGGTGATCGGCGAGGGCCTGGGCTTCGTGAAGGTTGGGAACAGCAGCTTTCTCGTGCAGTACGGGAGTCCAGATACGCTTCTCGACGCGCGGGTGCTGGCGATCCACGAGAGCGCAGGAGACGGCCGACACCTGGGGTTCCGCGAGGGCGTGAAGCAGCTCACGGAGACCGCCTGGCCGTCTTGGCCCCTGCTGGGCCCGAGGACCGCTGGGTGGGTGTGTCGTTTCATTCGTGACCAGGATGTGGCGCCTCGCTCCCGCCACGCACGATTCAAGGCAGAGGCGGGGCTTTCGTCATCAGATCCAGGGGTCGACTTCCACGAGTTCTGTCTGCGCCTGTTGCAGATCGGAATTCAGTTTGACCAGTTGAATGTGTCAGAGCTGGCGATCTTCGAGCTGATGTGCAGGAAGACGCAGATGATCGAGTACAAGTACAGGGACAGGTACCTCCACCGCATGGGTGCGGCGGGCGATGATCTAGCCGAGGACGAGCACATTTACCTTGGTACGTCGGAGACCCGTGGCCTCACGATGATCTCGCCTGCCCTTTCTAGCTACGTGGCAGACGAGCTGCACAAGGAGGCAAGTGTCCTCAAGGAGAGACGCACAGTACGAGGGGAGAGATCGACAGCTCGGCGTGGCGGTGCAGGCGGCAGCGGAGGCAACGAAAGCTCCGCGGGCCTGCAGAGTCGCGCCGACAAGCTGGCGAGCGAGAACAAGTTTTTGAGGGGGAAGTTGGCGGCCATCGACCCGAAGGGCAAAGGCAAATCTGGAGCGGCTGCGGCCGCGGATGGCAAGTGACTCTCAGATATGGCGGTGCCGCGGGAGCTGTTCCCAGTCCCCGTGGCTTTGCGGGTCGAGGAGGACTTCAACGGCTTCTACTCCTCGACTCGGCATCGGAGAAGCCGTGCTCGCCCATCTTTCTATTCCTCTCGCTGGGCATGCGAAGTTCTACATGGTCTCAATTGGCTATGCGGGCGGGATGTGTCGAGCAACTTCGAGCCTCTCTCCTTGGGTCAACGCCGAGGCATCGAGCAAATGAGTACCAGAATGAAGGCCCTTGACGGGCCTCCTTGCACTGCGGCGGCGGCCCTCTCGGAGCTGCGCCGAAGTACACCGGGCTATGACTGTCAGCCCGTGAAGTCCGTCGTGTACACCGAAGGTCGTGTGAGTCTCCCCAGCGATGCCACGAAGTGCGATGCCTCCGAGCTGCTGGACGGTCACCCTCGCGAGTTGTGGCACGCTTGGCGTCAGCGACTGCTACGCGATCCCGAATAGGTTCGTGGCCCAGTCGTTCCGTACTTTGATGAGCAGCTGCAACGGGCTCCACGCCACTACGCTCGCTTCTTGAGTGGAATGTACAAAGCAGGTGTGATTTGTTTTTCTCCCCCGCGCCCTTCTACGGCGGGCTTGTTCTTCGTCGAGAAGTCGGGGAACCAGTTGGGGGTGATCCTTGGCGCGAGGGCTGTCAACCAAGAGTTCATCGAACCCGGCGCGACCGCGCTGCCGTCAGCTGGCGTCTGGCGTGGCTTGAAGATCCCAGCCGGCCACGACCTCTCGCTGAGCCAGGTGGACCTCGAGGCAGCCTTCTACCGCATCGGGGTGCCGCCTGGGCTGGACGAGATGTTCGTGCTGCCCGCGGTGCCCGTGGACGCGCTGCTGGAGGCGCTGCCCGAGGTGGACATCGGCTCTCGGCCGGAGGGCAAGGTCTCGCCCCTGCTTGCTGTCCTTCCCATGGGCTGGACTTGGAGCTCATACTTCTTCCGAGCGCCGGTGGTCTCGCAGGTCGTTGCGGCTGGCATCAGCGCGAGCCGCGTCATACAGGACAGGTGCGTGGTGCCCGACGTGCGCGAGACCGCTGGTGTTGCTGTGTACGTCGACGGCGTGTTCGCCATCGGGTGCGACCCCGCGTCCGTGAGCTCGACGATAGAGCAGGCCCACCAGCGTCTCGAGGCCAGCCATCTGAAGTGCAAGGGCGTGCAGTCGGACCCGTGGGATCAGAAGTTCACGGGCTTGAACTTCGATTTCGAGACGGGCCGCATCTCCGTGAGCAAGGGCCGCATCTGGAGGCTGCGCCTGGCGTTGCTGGAGGTCACCGAGCGCGGCTACTGCAGTGGCGACGACATGCTGTCGGTCCTCGGCCACTACACGTGGGCCGCCATCTTGCGGCGCTGCTTGCTGAGCGTCTTCCACAGTGCCTACCGCTTCGCCCGGGCTGCAGGGCCTCGGCGATGGCGGCTCTGGCCCGAGGTGGCCACTGAGTGCCGCGTGGCAGCAGCTCCCATCGCCTGTGCCTACCTGGACACCAAGCTGGAGGTGGACCCCGTGGTGTTAGCTACGGACGCCTCCACTGGCACAGGAGACCTGGAGGGGACGGGGTTTGGAGGCTATGCTGTGACGGAGAAGACCTGGAACCAGCACGACGTTTGGGCCGCGGCCTCTTGCGTGGAGCGCTGGCGGTACAAGCTTGGGGGCGCCATTGAGGCTCGGCGACATGCCCTCCACGCTGCGCGCGACCTTGAACGAGCTGACGATGCCGGGGGTTGACGGGCGTGACAGGCCCTGTCGATGATCTAGAGGTCTCAAACGCGGTCAAACCCTTCGAGAGTGAGGGGTCAACTCGGACGTCGCGTGCTGCCCAGCTTGTTCGGTGTGCGTCAACATCGATCGAGCGCCAGGTGAACTTCGAGGAGATCGGCCCGAGCTTCTTGCTGCCGCTGGACTCCTGGAAGCTGAAGGCGTTCGGGCGCTGGCGGCGCCCTGAGGACATCATGCGTCTAGAGGGCCGTGCGCTGATCACTGGTGTGAGACATTGGCTGTGGCGGGCAGGAGCTTTTGGTCATGTCATCCTGAGCCTATGCGACAACTTGAGTTTGACACTTGCACTGAAAAAGGGAAGGTCTTCACATGTCGTTCTAAATCAGACGCGCAGAGAGTTGGCGGCCTTGAGTATCCTGACGGGGTCCTCCGTAGCCGTGCGCTGGGCCCCAAGTGAGCTTAACTCGGCGGACAGGGGGGGCCGCACCATCGGGCGACCGCTCAGCTCCCACGAAGGTGATCGCCGCCATGCTGGCCAGCTCGGGGCCGACGAGGCGCGGGGCCTTGCTGCCTCGGCCCTCGCTCGCGCTCGCGGCGAGGCAGCCGCCTGGCGGGGCGCGGGCGGCGTGCGCTTCCTCGGCGAGGTTGAAGAGCGCGAGCAGCCTGGGCGTGACCTCGCCGCCGAGAGTGCTGCCCAGCCGAATGGTGACCAGGAGGGCCCGCTGGGAGGCGCCAACGGGTTCGAGCGCCGCCTCAGCCTCAGCTCCGACAGCTCCTCCAGCAGCGACGCGGAGTCGAGTGGGTCGGCCTGCGACTCGAGCCGAGATCTTGAACAGACAGCGGGCGAGCACCAGGACGCGTCCGCCACGGCGACGCGCGGGGGGACGTCGAGCCTGGGCTCACCTTCTTGCAGACCAACAAGGTCAAGCCTCCCACGCGCACCGCCTTCCGAGAGCGGGCGCGGAACTTCTTAGAGTGGGCCAACGAGGGTGCCCCGGCGGAGATCTCCACTCGGCGCCTCGACCAGCTGGCTGCCAACTACACGGACGTCCTGTTCTTCGACGGGATGGAGGTCGGCGAGGGCTCGAGGCTGCTGGCGGCCCTGCAGTACCTGCGACCCAGCTTGGGGACGGCTCGCCACGGCAACTTTCCTGTGGCTCGTGCAGCCGTCGCGGGGTTCCGCCGCCGTGCCCGGGGAGGAACTCGCGCTCTTTTGTGCCGGCCTTGGGTGCTTGCGGTGGTCGGGATCAGCCTGCTGCTGGAGGACCTGGAGTTCGCGACGGCGCTGTGGCTGGCCTGGGACGGCATGCTGCGCCTGCCGTCCGACCTGGTGAGCATGACGCCCAAGACCCAGATCGGGCCTGGCAGGGCGGGGAAGCCCACGCGGGCTCTTCTCCTCTACCCCAGCGAGCAGGAGGCGAGGAGCAAGGTCATGGGCGCCGACGAGGGCGTGATCTTGCGCGAGGCCTGCTGGAGCGGGGGCGGCAGCGCGGCCTTGCGGCGCCTGCGGGGGGCTCGGGGCCCCAGCTGCCAGCTCTGGTCGTTCGACGGGGCTTGGTTCACCAAGCGGTTCGAGGAGCGGCTGGCCGCGCTGCCCGAGGCGCCCACGGCGGTCGCCTACCAGGTGCGCCACGGTGCCGCGAGCCACGCGGCGGCAGTGGACCAGCTCCCACTCAGCGCGATCACCGAGCGGTTGCGGCACGGCAACCCGCACAGCAGCTTGCGCTACGCCAAGCACGTCCGCTACCTTTCCTTGCTGAACAGGGTGCCACAGGCCGTGGTGGACTGGGGCGAGGAGATCCACGCGCGGCCGGGCAGCCTGCTCGGCGGGAGCGACATCTTGCAGGCTCCTGCCTTTCTGCTGCAGAGTGTGCTCGTGGCCTTGCGCGGCAGCTGCGCCAAGGCTTCAAATTCGGGCGTGAGCAAAAGAGCCAGGTTTTCCTCGAAGTTGGATTCTCGAAAGGTGAAGTGAGCCGATGCCTTTGTGAGTCCAGTGAGCACGGTGCTGTTTGGGTCAACGCCTCCATGTGTGATCTCTCGGTCATCCGAAAGATGCTCATCGGGTGGGTCGGTTCTTGTGCCGTGCGCGGCGTTATTGTGACGCTTCCCGACTTGAGTGCTGATCACACGGGGGACAGTAGTTACCAGCTGCGTGCAACTATTGTCCAGTGCATCCACAACCTTCTTAAGATTGCGAATGCTGCCTTTTCAGCGGGGTGTCCAGCGATTGTAATCAGCCCCTGCAAGGAGCAACTAGAGTCTGTTCAGGATTACCTCGGTTTTTGGAGCCGTGCCTGTGGCGTTTGGACCTCCAGAGTGCCCCCTGTGCTTTTTCGGCGTCGGGTCGCCACGGTCCGTTCGACATTTTAACGGCCTCGGGTGGGCCTTTTGTTAGTAGTAATTCCCACTGTCGCCACCGCCGTGTGTCTGCTCCTAGTAAGTCGCCATTCATTTTCTTCGGGGCTTCGCTGGCCTCTCGTCTCAGCTTACACTTAAGGGGTGCCGCCGACAGAAATCGTATTGACAATTTAACCCGCCTGGTGTGTTGACATGGGCCAGGGGCCAATTCGGGCTGATTCGGGGACGATCGGTTCCGCCGTTTGTGAAGTCAACCGCTGCACCGTCCGAGAGATACGATCTGGATGTAAAAGAACAGAGAATCGTGTTGTCTAGCCGCGCCTGGGGATGGGGTCGGGCTGAGCATGTTCTTGAAACGCTGGTGCCCGTCTGGCCTTCCGCGGCCCTTATTGGGCTCCGACCAATTTCGCTCAAGTTCCCCCCGCATCTTCCCCGATTGGCGTGGCCTCCGCCACAATTTCAGTTCAAAGGGGGAACGATCGGTTCCGCCGTTTGTGAAGTCAACCGCTGCACCGTCCGAGAGATACGATCTGGATGTAAAAGAACAGAGAATAGTGTTGTCTGGCCGCGCCTGGGGAGGGGTCGGGCTCATTATCATTATCATCGTTATCTCCATCGTCATCACCATCATCATCATCCTCATATTCACCATCATCTTCATCATCATCATCACCATCATCATCATCAACAACATCATCAACATCAACATCATGGCCGTCATCATCACCATCATCGTCATCATCGCCGTCATCATCACCATCATCGCCATCAGCTTCGGCACGCCCCTCACACGTTTCGTGGCTCCATCGGGAGCTCCACCGAAGGCCCCAGTGGCAAAATTCGCATGCAGTTCCACCCTCATTTCGGCGCCACCCTCACACGGTTCGCGGCCCCATTGGGAGCTCCACCGAAGGCCCCAGTGGCAAAGTTCGCATGCCGTTCCACCCCCATTTCGGCGCCACCGTCACACGCTTCGTGGCTCCATCGGGAGCTCCACCGAAGGGCCTGTGGGCAAAATCCGCATGCAGTTCCACCCCGATTTCGGCGCACCCCTCACACGGTTCGTAGCCGAAAAGGGAGCCCCACCGAAGGTCCCAGTGGGAAAATTCGCATGCGGTTCCACCCCCAGGTCGGCGCCACCCTCACACGGTTCGTGGCCCCATTGGGAGCTCTTCCGAAGGCCCCAGTGACAAAGTTCGCATGCCGTTCCACCCCCCTTTCGGCGCACACCTCACACATTCGTGGCCCCATAGGGAGCTCCTCCGAAGGCAACAGTGGCAAATTTCGCATGAGGTTCCAGCCCCATTTCGGCACACCCCTCACACATTTCGTGGCCCCATAGGGACCTCCACCGAAGGCCCCAGTGGCAAAGTTCGCATGCGATTCCATCATTATTTTTTTGGCACACCCCTTGCACGTTTCGTGGTTCCACATGGAGCCCTACCGAAGGCCCCAGTGGCAAAGTTCGCATGCGGCGCCACCCCCATTTTGGCACACCCTTGCCCGTTTCGTGGCCCCATAGGGAGCTCCACCGAAGGCCCCAGTGGCAAAATTCGCATGCGGTTCCACCCGCGTTTTAGCACATACCTTTCACACTTTTCGTGGTTTCATAGGGAGCTCCACAGAAGGCCCCAGTGGCAAATTTCGCATCCGGTTCCCCTCCATTTTGGCACCCCCCCCACATGGTTCGTGGCCCCGTGGGGCCCTCCACTGGACGCCCCGGTGGCGAAATTCGCATGCGGTTCTGTCCCCATTTCGGCACACTTTTCACGCGTTTCGTGGCCCCATCGGGAGCTCCACCGAAGGCCCCAGCGGCAGCGCCCGCATGCGGTTCCACCCCCATGTGGATGCACCCCTCACACGTTTCATGGCCCCACAGTGGGCTCCACCGAAGGCTCCAGAGACAGTGCCCGCATGCGGTTCCACCTTCGATTTCCGCGAATCCCTCACATTGTCGTGGCCCCAAAGGGAGCTCCAACGAATGCACCAGTGGCAGCGCCCGCATGGTGGTCCCGCCACATTCCGGCACACCGTTCACGCGCTTCGTCGCCCCGAATGAAGATCCACCGACAGCAATACTCACAACGAGGGTACCCACAACTGCATATGATTGGGCCCTTCGCCAGGCAAATTTTTTGTAGTTGCGACCCATTCCCCTTGCGCCCCCGTACCGTTCTTGATGGCCCCGGGGCCCGACAACGGGGCCCGCAAGCCGAAACTGAGGAAATTTTCTCAGGCCGATATCGGCGGAGATCTAGGGACGTCGACCTCGAGGCGTCGAGGGGACAACCGCCACGGGCATCGTTTCGCGATCTCGTCCTCGGGCACCGCGGCCAGCGAGAGGGCTGGGGCTCCCTGAGCGAAAAGAACATGACGCCAGACGTCCTTGTCGGCGTTCCTCGTCGTCGTCGTCGTCGTCGTTCTTCGTCGTTCCTCGTCGTCGTCCTCGTCGTCGGCGTCGTCGTCGTCGTCTTCCTCGTCGTCGACTTCGTCGTCCTCGTCCTCGTCCTTGTCCTCGTCCTCGTCCCCGCCCCCGTCCTCGTCTTCGTCCTCGTCCTCGTCCTCCTCCTGCTCCTCGCCCTCCTTCTCGCCTCCTTGCCCTCCTCGCCGTCTTCGTCGCCTTCCGCCGTCTTACCCCCCCCGGGACCCGGTGCGCGAAAAAAACATGACGCCAGACGTCTGGGGGCCTCGGCCGATGGGCCGCTGCTGAGCTCCCCACAGTGCCCGAGCCCCTGCCTTCTCGCTGTCGTGGGCCTGCTGGCGATGTGTTGCAGATCGGCCGTTTCCGAAACGTCAGATCGCCCATCATCGGACGATTCTGGGTCACCGGCGGCGTTCAACGTTGAACGCTGGCGGCGGGGTCGCTGCTGGTCGACACGATGCGAACCTGCCGTGCGGCAGGTTCGCGCCGTGACGACTCGGGTGTCGGTTTCTGAAACTGCGTGAATCGTGCAACCCTCCCTTCCATTGCCATATATCCGTCTGGGGAGAGTATGCTGCAACGCATGAGTTGGCAATTTGGATGTCAGAAGCTTTGATGCCTCTTCTGGTTTTGAGCCGGCTATGATGCCCACTCGTGCCCACCCCGCCCCGTCTTCAGGGACTGGTTCTGGTCAGCAGGCAGGGCGGGCGGATTCGAAGCTCTGGGCTCGGGAAGGTTTGTTGCCTTCTTCGGCCTCCAGGGTCCGTTCTCGGGCCCCTGGAGCATCAAAAACGGATCCAGAGTGAAAAACTACACCAGATGGACCCCAGGAGGGGTCCAGGGGTCGATTATGATCGGATTGGGCCTCATCCCCCCTCCTGCCCGATTCTCTTGGACCCCAACCATTGTACACCCCCCGGCCGCCTCCAACCGCTGCCCCCGTGCGCAAGCCAAGCACGAGGAGCAGCACAAACATCAATCTTGGGAGGTCCGCGTGGATCTCTTTGCTCCCTGGGTCGGAGCCTGAGCTCCTCCCCGCACTCCTGGCCGCGCCTCCGTCGCCGCCACTGGCGGGCTTCGCGCGCGGGGGAAAGGGCAAGCACAAGGAATCCGCGCGGCCGTCTAACAGTTTCTGTTACTGTCATCGGTTGGTTTCTTTTATTGCCCTCGCCCCTCCACAAACACACAGTATGATTGCTACTCTCCTCTCTCCCCTGAGTCTGTGCGGGAAATGGCTGGCACCCCTTTCTGCGTATTTTCTTTACAGGATTGCCAGGAGTTGAGTGTTCATATGTGCTTTTGACAATCCGATTAATTTCGGTCTTAAAAAGTGTTGCTCCCGCTGGCCTCATGTTCGGGCTTCCGCTCGTTCCGAATTGTGCCCCCGCTGCAGCGCTGACCTCATTTCCGCGCTTCCGCTTGTTCCGAATCGTGTTCCCGCTGCAGCGCTGGCTTCATTTCCAGCGCCATGCCATGGCATGCAATGCAATGCTACAGTATGTTCCTCTGTGCGATGCCATCCCTTCAGCTGCAATGCTCTGATAGGCAGTACTTGACTACGCAGTGCCACGCCATGCTACGTCATGCTAAGCGGTTTCCTCTCTGCTCACGCCTCCAGGACACAGGCGGATCGGGCCGACAGGGCCCCCCTGGCCTCCTCCTCCTCCTCCTCCTCCTCATCCTCCTCCTCCTCCTCCTCCTCCTCCTCCTCCCCCTCTTCCTCTTCCTCCTCCTTCGACCTTGCGCAGGAGATCGAGGAGGAGCTGGTCAAGATCCGCAACCTCATCCGCAAGGCTCGGGGCCTAACCCGGGGGTGACCTCGCTCCGCCGCCCGACAATCGAAGAGACGGCAGGCTCGTGTCGTATGGACGCGGCGGCGACCCGCGGGGCGCAACATGGAGCCATAACCGCTACCGGTAAGGCCTCGGGTTGCGCACAGACAGGCCCCCAAGGTCGTCGAGGCTGGCCTCAACAGGCCCCCCGAGTAGCGCCAGCTGGCCTCAACAGCCCCTCCGAGCAGTCTGGGGCGGTCCTAACATCCTGGCGCCACCCTTGGGGCGCCCTGTGCCCCCAGGCTGAGGCGCTGAGGCCGCCCCGGACTTCTCGGGGGGCCTGTTGAGGCCAGCTGGGACCATTCGGGAGGCCTGTTGAGGCCGGGTGGGGCTAGTCTGCGCCACTTTTCGAGCCGGATCGACCTGCGAGGGTGCCAGGGCCCAAAATATGGCTACATTGCCGAGCGTGAGAAAATGCGACGCCAGGACCCCAGGGTTCGTCTGAGAGAGAGAGAGAGGGAGAGGGAGACGGGTGCGGAACCAGCCATGCGATGTTTTGTTTTTCCCTGCAGGGCCCATGGAAGTCTCGACCCTCTTCCCTGTGGCTGGTCTCTAACCCCCAGTATATAGTTTTTGACGGTCCCGGGGCCAGGCGAGGACTCCCAGGAGCCGAAGGTTTCCAAAACTTTCCGTCATGATTTCTTTCGCTGCACGGTGCCAGCATGTCTGCGGACGGCCGTTGCCCCCGCGTGCAGCGCACGGACCTGTTCTACGAGGAGGGCGACGACGACTTTGGGGCCGCCCCCGCGCGGCAGTTCGACGTCAAGGCTGGGATCCTCGCCGGGCGGGCGGTGGCGGCGGAGGAGAAGTAGGCGGCGAAGATTGGCGGGAGAAGGGGGAGGGGGAAATGGATGAAGTTTCGAACTTCGAGGTGTGAGGCTTTCGGACGTCTTCGTTGGATCTCGGTGGCTTTCCAGCCTCGGGATGCCCTCCAGCATGCACGCCTCGGCGAGAACGTTCCAGGGATTCCTGGATCGTCCCGAACGGCCGCCGGAGACCGCAGTTATGACCTAAAAGCCAGAGGGGGGTGATGATGATAATGATGATGATGCTGCTGATGATGATGATGATGATGATGATGATGATGCTGCTGATGCTGATGATGATGATAATGCTGATGCTGATGCTGATGTTGATGCTGATGCTGGTAATGCTGGTGATGCTGGTGATGCTGGTGATGATGAGGATGAGGATGATGATGATGATGATGCTGCTGCTGCTGATGATGATGATGCTGATGCTGATGCTGATGCTGATGATGATGCTGCTGCTGATGATGATGCTGATGATGATGATGATGATGATGATGATGATGAGGAGGAGGAGGAGGAGGAGGAGGAGGAGGAGGGAGGAGGAGGAGGGAGGAGGAGGAGAGGGAGAAGGGGGAGGATGTGCAGGGGGAGCAGTAGGTGCAGTAGGAGGAGGAATAGGAGGAGTAGGAAGTGAAAGAGGAGGACTAGGAGGAAGGGAGGAGGATGATGAGAAGGAGGAGGAGGAGGACGAGGAGAAGCAGAAGCACGGGGAGGAGGACGAGGAGAAGGAGGAGGAGGAGAAGGAGGAGGAGGAGGAAATATTGTAGTGGCCTTCGGCCAGTGCCGCCGATCCGGGGCGCTCCGACTGATGTGATCCTTCTTCGCCCTCGTCCCTCCTCTCTTTTTCCCTCCCCTCCTCTCACTCAGCATTTATCCAGTGGCCGTCGGCCTATCCCGCCACCGTGCGTGGGTGGTGGGTCAGAGGCCTCATGGATGCTGGTTGGGATCTCGTGGTTGGCTGGGACTTTGGGGGCCTCTTGGGCGCCTCTTGGGGCTTCTTGGGGGCCTCTTGGGGCCACTAGAGGGCCTCGTGGGGGTCTCTTGGGAGCCTCTTGGGGCTTCTTGGGGGCCTCTTCTGCGCCCCTTGGGGCCTCTTGGAGGCCTCCTCGGAGCCTCTTGGTACGGGAGGGGTGGTACTCGAGTTCGGAACCCCCTCGGAGGCCACGATCCTTGTGAGGGGTGTCAAAAAACGCATCCGCCGGAAACTCCCCCCCCCCCCACACCCCCCCTTCCCCGGCAGAGCCACCCCGGCAACCCCCCCACCCCCAGAGGCTGAGGCTCAGCCTCGAGGCTGTAGCTGAGACTCCTTGAAACTCACACGCCGGATCGGCGGATTAGGATGAGCATGAGGATGAGCATTATCATGAGGATGAGGATGAGGACGGGGAGGAGGAGGATTCAGATGAGGATGAGGATGAGGATGATAATGATATTGATGATGATGAGGATGATGCTGAGGATGATGCTGAGTATGATGATGATGATGATGATGATGATGATGATGATGATGATGATGATGATGATGATGATGATGATGATGATGAGGAGGAGGAGGAGGAGAGAGGAGGAGGAGGATGAGGATGAGGATGAGGAGGAGGAGGAGGAGGAGGAGGAGGAGGAGGATTGCAGTCCAGTGTGCCGCTTAGGGTAGGCATGAACTTGTGAATGTGCATATGACAACCCTCTGGTCCCAGAACCTGTACAGGGACTGTTGTTGGCACCTTGTGTTGGTGGATGGTATGCGTGGTCAGCATACCCCGAGACAGCCACTTCTGTTCGACAAATTAAGTATGGCGGGGGTGCGGGACAGTGGAGTAACATGCCCCCGTTCCTGATGTTATGTCTGAGGGGCTATACAAGAATATGCCCTCTTCCCCCCCGAGTGGGGTATAGATCTCCGACCCGCATTCCCGAGGCGTCAGCACGGCAAGCCCTACACCCCGCTGCCTCGCCCCAGCTGCACCCACCGCACGAGGCTGGCCACCAGTGGGCCCAGACAATTTCTGAACATACCGCCCCCCCAGCGGGCGGGCGCAAATGTTCAGAACTTGTCCGGGGCCACCCCGCATCCCCCCCCCCGGCGCAGTGAGCCCCTGTTCGGGACCGCGCTGGCCCGTGGACAGCCGGTGACCTCAAAAGGTCACTTGGGGCCCGCCCATGGTCACCAAGGGCTGGCCAGGCCTGGAACGGTATGTAGGACGGCCGGTATTGCCGCTGGGCTGTGCCCTCCAGGACAGAAGCTCCAGCGTCGTTGCCAGGCTGTGCCCTGGTGTGCCTCGTAGGGGGGAAGGTGTCCAGGACTGCTGGCGTTGCAATTGGGCTGTGTCCTGGAGGTCAATACCTTCGATCGACCAGGCGCGCAGGCCCGCCAGCTCAGTATCCTGGAGGGCAGAACCGTCGACATGTCCAGTGGAAGCAGCACCCCCAGAGTTGTCGCCAGCGTGTGCGCGCATGGCTCGTGCGGAAAGGTGTGCAGGACCGCTGGAGTTGCCGGCGGGCTATGTCCTGGAGGGCAGACCCTCCGACGTGTCAGAATGCGAACAGCGCTGCTGGCGTTGTCGTCGGGCCATGTCTTGGAGGTACAGAACACGAAAGGAAGGGTAAGCGTGCATGGCAGCCAGCATTGCCACCAGGCTGTGTCCTGGAGTCCAGAACCTGTGACGTGTTGATCAAAAGTGTCTTCGGAGATCGAGCCAGCTCTGTTTCCTTTTTTGAGGACCTCAGGGTCGAGGTCGAGGAGTCCTCTACGTGAGGGTGTGCAGGGCCACGGGCCTTGCCGTCGGGCTGGGTCCGTGAGGCATCCGCCTCGTGGCCAGGCTGTGTCCTTGAGGCGGACTGCCTCGCAATTGGGTTGATCGTGCATGACCTGTGGATGCACGAAGTCTGGCACCGCCGCCAGCAAGTGTCCAAAAGAGGATGCACTTAGGTGATCGGTTATACGTGAGGATGTGTAGGACCGCCAACCTTGACGCTCGGCAACGTATTTGAGGCAACAACCCCGCGACAGGGGTAGGCGTGCATAAACGACGGACGCGCGATGGATTGCATTGCCGCTAGCCACCGCATCGGTTCGACGTGAGAGTATGCCGGGCCGCCGGCCTTGCCGCTGGGCAACGTCCTTGAGGTATCTGCCTCGCGACGGGGGAAGGCGCCTAGAATCAGCAAATGCTCGCAAACTGGCACTGCCGCCAGGCAGCGCCCACAGGAAACAAAGTGAGAGAACCAGGGACATGTGACGGTGCAGGACCGCCGGCCTTGCTGCCGGGCTGTGGCCCTGAGGCGACTGACTCGCGACGCGGGCAGAATCGCAGAATCTGCTGCTCCACGATAGCCACCGCTGCCTCCAGACAGTGTACAATAGTAGACGAACCTTGGTCGCGGTTCGACGTGAGAGCGCGCAGGACCGCCGGCCTCGCCGCTGGGCAACGTCCTCGAGGCACTCGCCTCGCGAAGGGGTCAACCGAGCAGAATCGGCGGACGCACGCAAGGTGGCGCTGCCGCCAGGCAGCGCCCAAAGGAGACGAGTGTGAGTTCCAGGCCACTGTGCACTGCAGGACCGCCTGCCTTGCCGCCAGGCTATGTCCTTGAGGCGGCTCCCTCGCGACGGGTGGATACACGTAGAATCTGCGGATACACGAAAAAGGGTACTGCCGCCAGACAGCGTGCAAGAGGATATCAACATGGTAACATGGACCACGCGATGGTGCGGAGGACCGCCGGCGTTGCCGCCATGGAGGACTGCCGGCCTTGCCGCCGTGCTGTGTCCGTGTCCTTAAGGCAACTCTCTCTCTCTCACGACATGATATGCGCGTACTCTGTGTCGCTGTGTCACTCAATAGTTCTGGGGGTACTTGTAATCCGGGGAGGGTACCTGTAGTCCGGGGAGGGGCACCTGTAGTCCGGAGGGGGGTACCAGTAGTCCGCTACGGGGAAGGTCACCTGCAGTCTGGGAGATACTTGCAGTCTGGGGGGAACGCGTGTTCACGCGCTAACGCACGCGTGGATGTAGTCCTGGGGGGGTACCTGTAGTCCAGGGGGGGGTACCTGCAGTCCGGGGGGGGGGGGTACCTTCAGTTCGGGGATGGGCACCTGTAGTCCGGGGGGTACTTGTAGTCCTGGGACCCCGAGCTATTGAGGGACACAAAGTAGGGATTGTGGGTGCACGAAAGCCAGCACTGCAGCCAGCCAGCGCCCAAAAGGAAACGAAACATTGGCGACTGGAGAGACATAAGAACGCGCAGGACCGCCAGCCTTGCCGCCGGGCAGCGTCCTTGAGGCAACAGCCACGCGAAGGGTGTGGGCGCGCAAGCTCTGCGGACGCACGATGGCTGGCATTGCCGCTGCGTCCGAAAGGCGGCGAATCGTGGTAGCGGCTCGTCGTAAAATTGCTCAAGACCACCGGCCTTTCCTCCAGACTGTGTTTTTAATGTACGAAATCGGGCACTGCCGCCATCCAGTGTCCAACAAGAGATAAACCTTGGTTATCGGCGCCAGGTGAGAATGTGCAGGGCCGCCAGCCTTGCCCCCGGGCAGCGTTCTTGAGGCAACAGCCTCGCGACGGGGATAGGCGTGCATAAACTGCGAACGCACGATGGATTGCATTGCAACCAGCCTGCGCGTCAAAGACGACGAACCTTGGTAGCGGTTCGACGTGAGAGTATGCAGGGCCGCCGGCCTTGCCGCTGGGCAACGTCCTTGAGGTGCCTCGCGACGGGGGAACTGCGCCTAGAATCAGCAAGTGCTCGCAAACTGGCATTGCGGACAGGCAGCGCCCACAGGAAACGAAGTGAGAGAACCAGGGACATGTGACGGTGCAGGACCGGCGGCCTTGCTGCCGGGCTGTGACCCTGAGGCGACTGCCTCGCGACGGCGGTAAACACGCAGAATCTGCGGATGCACGATCGCTGGCACTGCCGCCCTTACATCTGGCACCAGAGGCAGGTGCCCGTGCCTGTCCATCGACACGGAAGAGCATCCGAGTGTGAGGGCGTGCGGTCCTA